AAAAGATGTGCGTCTAACTTTAAAAACTGTCGCATTAATGGCCCTTCACTCATTTTCAACTTCTGTTCAATTTTCATACTGCCGTACTCTAACGGAACTATCCACCTACTCTCTTCTAAAGATCATTCTCTAGCTAATAAATTATCACACTAAAAAGCTTCATGTTAGTATTTCCAACCAACTCTATAAAATCTGGATAAATCTGGAATGCTCCAAAAAATCATGTTTTTAAATAATTTTATGTCAAAGAATAATATTGTTATATAACTAAAATGAAAGTCTGAAAGCGTCATTTTTGAAGTCTCAGGATCTTGAAATGATTCTAAATTCTGGAATTTATATTTTTCCTGGGAATGAAATTTTTTGTTAGTCTGAATTTAATTTTTTAACAGAGTTCAATTTTAATTATCCTTGAATTTCATCATACTTCTATTCTGGATTTCTCTAAACTAATCTTGATAATATCCATACTTATAACATTCAAAGAGTGCTTAGCATTATCTCCTGTAATCTCTTATAAATCGCTCTCTGATTCCACAATTCCCTCAAACTGGTAATAATTTCCAAGAATTGACATAATTTTGTCTCATTTTTTCTCTATGGAATTCCCTTAGAATATTCTTAATAATTTCCTTGGTACGCTCTTCAGAATGACCGTCACATTCTTCTCAGACTAATCTTTTTCAGTATTTCCTAAGTACTCAAGTACTTTGCCATTGAAACTATTCTCACGATTCGTATCAGCATTCTCCTTAAGTTTCATCTTAGGAATTTTCTATGATTTCTCTTCCGAATTCCAACTATTTCCTTTCTTCACAAAATCTCCATACAATTGTCATCAGAGTTTGCAAAAGACAATTTATACCGTCTTCACTTCAATCAAAGGTTGCACAGACTGCATACTTACACTTCACTGTAAACAATTTTCAGAATTACCTTAAAATTCTGAAAGCTAGGGCAATACAGAATTCTAAAGTATTGCAGACTGCTAAGGTTAATCAATATTCACAGGTACTTTAAAACTCTATTTAGAAATCTAATTAATTATCCTCACACACACATCCTCAAACACACATTTCAAAGTCCTGGTGGTTGTTTAGATTCAAAAGCCTTGCTAACTTTCCAAAGCTCAATTGATTGTTTTCAATCCTGGACAGTCTTCGATTTCTCTAAATTCCAAAATTGGGAAAATTCCTCCATATTGAAATATTGATTTTTATAAATCCAAGATTCTAAAAGAAAATTAATTATAGCCAAAATCTAAACAAAACTTAAAACTAAAAAAATCCTGACTCGATATTTTCAAGATTTTTGACAGCCAACAATGTTAAGAAAATGTCTCAATTTTCAAGATTCTGCAAACCATTGCAAACATGTTGTAGCAATTCCATGTATGATGTCCAACGTTGATGGCCTTTAATAATTAAAGTATGTAGTAAGTTTGGCTTTTTTTTTATAAGAGGGTCCAATAATTGCAGTGATATTTATAAAGCAAGATATTTTAAAAATCTGGGAAAATCTGGAACATATTTAAAAAATCTGGAAATAAACGTGATCTGTCTGTGTATCTCACAATACGACTGAGAATCTGTAAAATCCAGATAAATCTGGAATACTGGCACCGCTGCCTGCCAGCCGTTATGGAAGTTTCGTTTGCGTTCGGGTTTAAAGCAAAAATCATTGACCACAGTTTGTTGAGATTTGCAGCTGGTGAGTTTCGTTAGCTTGATATTCCGAGCTACGATATCACAGCTTGCAAAATCAACCGCAACTGTATGCTTGTTGATTTTTGTCTACGAAAAGCAATCGTGATCTTGGGCATTGATGAGATTTCATTTTTTGATATTTTCCCAACACTGATCTTGACAAACCAATTGACTGTTACTGTTTTGATCACTTCTGAAAATGGCAGGTGAAAGAAGTGACAGCCGTTTTACCAAAATTCGCAAAGAGACGAGGTTAGTGCCTAAATCACAGTATTTTTCCAGGCTCATTTGCCGTAGCTTTGCGGAGCCGATATTCATCGTTTGGGTTACAAAATTACTTAAAACTAACGTTAGTAAAGCGGGGGCCTATTACTCGCGGCTATCTCGAGGTTAGGGGTAACAAATTGTAACAAACGGATGGCAGGGTAGAGATTGAGAACACAAGGTTTTTTCGAGCAATGTGCTCTCGATCTCGAACTAAGCGACATACTGATGAAAAAGACAATCAGTGGGGTACACCGATGGGCAAAATCACAGTAAATGTATTTGCTGATTTCGATATTATTAATGCTTGCTGACATGCTCAGCAAAAAAATGCACGCTTAGAATCGATTCGTAAATTTGCTTTCTTAAATTTCGGTACACTCGGATGATTTTTGAATTACATTTTAATAGCGTGTAGTCATGGATACATTTTAGATTCTGAGACATGACAAGATTTCAGAGTTGCCGGAAATTGAGACACTTTTTTAATATAGATATTTAGAAATTGTTGATCGCAATCTGTTATTGGAATCATATAGGAAAATTGAATAACGCCTCACCACCGCCTGTTGGCCTTCAGTTACTAGCCCGGATCGGAAATTGAATCCATCGTGTGTTTGCCAAAGAGAAGCGCAGACTCGATGGATATCTAGGTTTAATTTGGTTTGAGCACATCGATCCCGTGGACATTCGTCTTGATTTTTAAATCAAGATTTAAATTTTTGATCGTTGACACTAAATCTATTCGTTGACAGCCCTCTCCCATACAAAGTTCCACCAAGGGGCGCTAAGATGGTGATTTGTGTTAATGTAATATTACTTATTTAAAATAGTTCCAGTGAACCAAAATTGATGAAATTTTGGATTTCGGTTCCATTTTTAATGCAGATACCGAATATATGCATATATATTATGCATTTACCTCAATACGCCTAAACAAAAATTATAATAATAAAATTTTCCATATGGGCCCTTATTACGGGTGTCACTTCACGGTGAAAACGAAGTGCAATGACAAGTTGTCATTCACGGTGAAGTGATTTCCGGGCAAACCAAATAGGAATCACTACACCGTGAGTGAAAAGTTGTATTCACCGTGAAATGACACTCGTTAAGGGCCATGGTCCCTTAACTATCAAAAGTTGAAAATGATAGTTGAGTGTAATTTTAAAATTTCAGCCAGTATTGGATCGAATTAAAAAAAAAGTAAGAGGTTCTATCTAAGATCCGTAGATTTGACGTAGGATTACGAAAGGGATTTTTGATGTCACAGCAAAAGTATAGTATATATTAAATTTAATTCTTAACACGTTATCAGTGAAAAAGTTCGATAGGTTGAAATTCGGAAGCAATTTGAGAGTTCTATTTATGTTAGAGAAACCACTTTTCCCATCACGGAAACGCTTAGCTTTCTGATTTCAAAATTACGCATTTTCGTGCACAAAACGCACAGAACTTTTTGTTTAATCAATAAATAGTAAAGAAAGCGAAAAGGGAGGAATTTCATGCTAAAATTTTCCATTCGCGAGATATTCGCGAAAATCATATATATTCGAGATTTGTTTTTTGCTTTTTCTAGCGTCCTGGAGAAAACCTTACGAAGTGTTTCTGATTATTTGACATGGTCATGTGGTATTCGGTCATTGCGAGAATTTTTATGTACCACTTCAATACTTGACGCATTTGACCACAAACGTGTGGTAGCTTTGGGAGTGATGTGGCTGGCAGCAAGGCGAGCGAACGTTCAATGAAAATTATGTAACTCTTAAAAAACAAAATTTAGGGTGTTCAACACGGATGTGGCTGGCGAATTGACGCGCTTGGCATAGATGGCCCACAGCGACTCACGACGAGCAACTGAATCAGCGGTTGAGGGCAGCCTTGATAGCTAGCTGCTTGCGAAGAGCCTTTCGTTGTGTACTGGAGAACATCACCACTCACAACACGTGGTGATTGAATGATTGAATGATGGAATTCAATTTTGAAATCTGTGATAGGGAAAGCACTTTGCGCAACACTTGCACATTCGTGCAATTTTCAATAGTGACATTTTGAAAAAGTGATAAATCCTTAAGTTTAACAGATTCGCAGACACATTTCCTATCGATTTGCGTATTCAGAATTAAAATCCATCATCTCTGGATCAAAATCAGACCACTTTCATGCCGCAACCGACTTTGGATTCTAAAATTGCACTGCCAATGTTGCCATAAAAATATATGGTATGTTCGTTTTAACCATATGGGAACTGACATCCGCTTGATGACCTTGACAAATGTCCAACAAATACTCTTTATCAAATTTATGGTGGTCCTGAAAAGGCCCATTTTGTCGTTATGGTTGACTTATGCTGCGCTATTAAGGTGTTGAACATGGATAATGGTGGCGAGCTATATGTTGTTTGGAACGAGGGTGACGCGCTTGGCATAGATGGCCCACAGCGACTCACGAAGAGCTACTGATTCCAATCAGTAGCGGTGCGGCTTCTTCCTCCTTCTTCGGTGAATGGACACTCCTGTGGGCAGCAGCTCGCTGCTTGCGGGCAGGTTTTCGTTGTGTACAATATTCAACGACACGCGCCGAAAGCACTGCTGCTGCTGACGACCGACCGGACACCACCACACACGATGATTGAATAAGCACCGTTCAGGGAGACAGGATCGAATTCGATTTTGAAATCTGTGTTAGGGAATGTGCTGTTTGCAGGCAATCGGTGATAGTTTTGATCACTATTGCAACAGTTGGACATTTGTGTAATTTTCAGTAGTGACCTATTGAAAATTAATAATGTTTTCAATTTAGCAGATTCTTAGCAATAAATAATTTCTAATCGATTGGCTTACTTAGAATTAAATCTATCCGCTATTGACAGAGTTATATGTGGTCAAAACATAACCACTTTTCGCAATGCGGTCAATTTTGGTTTTTTGAAATTGCACCCCCCAATATGTTGCGGAAAGACGTAAACCTACGTCAAAAACGTTCTTAAAATCATCCTGTCATCTTCCATCATCGAGCAGCACAACTTACCTGTTCCTTATCCAGCGACCGGAACAGCAGGATGTTCTTGACTGAATCGCACAACCGTGATCGTTGGTCGTCCGTCTTGGGGAATATCGCCCGGGCACCATCGTCGTCGTCATCATTCTCCGGGTCGTACGTCTCCGCAAACACGGATTTCCTGCGGGAGGCGTACCGATTTACTAGGGGTTCTGGAAGAAATGGGCGAGAATACGGAGAAATGATGTTAGTTAGGCTGTTTTCTGTTTTGGAATTTTAGGGTGCTCGAAAGTTTGCGAATTAATCTCAATCTAATTGGAAATCATCCACCATAATTTATGTTCACGTGTCTCCAATCATTAGCGTATTTCTGGGGAACACTCGAATAAATGACGTCAAGGACGAAAACTCAGTACGCTATCAATCTATTTATCTAAAAACATCATGGTGACCTTAATTTTCCGAACGCCTACACGCTCTCGTCGGTTCGGTGTAATTCAATCACGTAATTGAATTGCGAATGACTAGCTCTTTTTTTTCTATCTCTACCAGTTCTAGTTTTTCGCCTAAAAATTTAAAATTGACAGTAATTCATTTACTGTTGTAAACGTATAATTTTTTACTGACTTACAGTTGAAGGCAGCAGATATTCATGGTTGCCGTGGTGCAATTTGTGTATCCCAGTCAGCCACCACCCACGCACGTCAATCGAGGATGAAATTTATTTCGTGGGAATATGGCGTATCCATTCATTGCACGTGTTTCTAATTGACAACCGGTAATAATGGTGATTGATTCGAAGTTGGATGGGATCCTCAAATAAAGTTTTAACGGCGGCGATGTGGGATTTTTAAGTTATCATTTATGTTGTGACTTGAATTACATAAAACGGAAGACAATCTTCTGAGACAACGCCACTAAGTTCACCCAATCATCGCTTGTATCGTCCAGCACTAATTAGAATTAGTGACGGAGCGTTTATCCCATCGGCAATTAGTAGGTTAGCAAACGAGTGAAAAACTCGTCTGTGTCTGGGTATCTCTGTGTATGATAATTGTTCAGGATTCCGGAAACAGCAGGGATCAACACCGAGAAGCACCGGTTGCGTAGTGCGCTCTATATACCTACATATAAGATGGTGAGTGACTATTGGCTGGAACATTGTCTTGTGAGATTTTCCACTTATATTTGTACCGCATTAGATGGCGACCGTAGGCAGCTGCGGGCGTGGGACAAACGACGGGTAAATCTGAAATCTAATGGCAATTGTATTGCAGCACTAAGTCTTGTTGATTTTTGTAAAACTAAAAATTTGAACTGACACATATAGTCAGGAAAGGTGGAAAACTGTCAAAAAATACCGCCTTGAAAAAGTTTAAAAATTTTAGAATATCATTTTTCTAGTTATGGAACTTTTACTTTCCCAGTATGGGGAAAATCACATTTCTTGCTTCGCTTAACTCAGTCGGTAAAGGCGCAGCTACAAATCAAGAACATGCTGGAGGTGGCTGGGTTCGATTCCCGGTCCGGTCTAGGAATTTTTCGGCATAGGGTATAATTGTACTTGCCACACATATAGGGTTAACTACCCCATTTCCGCACACCCCACTCTTAGTCTTTCTTAATCTAACATAGTTAAGCACCAAATGGAATGTAATTATTATTGCTGGCTTCCAAATTTATTTACCTTTCCATACGTACTGTTAGATTTGATAAAGAGAAACATATGGTTTAGATATTGTTAAAAGTCTAACACTGCTTCTTGATTCTAAACTCGGCCTAACACATTGAAACGTCAATGAATTCACTTCGGCCTATCGAATGAAGATAAAGATTGATTCGGTCGGAGCGCTTCATTTGTATTTGAGAATATTGGATGCAAACATTCATATCACGCGTTCTTATTGATTTAGTTCGGCAGCTTTTGAAATAAAGTATCTACCAAACGCAAAATTTACTTGGTAACGACGAAATCATGCTCAGCAAAAAATTAATTTTGATATCACTTGGAAGCACTTCAATCGTGTCGAAAATATGGTGTTATATTACTTGCCAAAAAGGATAAAATTATCATTAATACAGTACATGAACTGACATTACGCTACTTTTGCTGCATTTGTTTATTTTTGTGGCCATAAAAATTACATGAGATTTTCGACTTGATTGAAGTGCATCCTCTTGGATGTAATAGGCGAAATGGCTCTAATGTTGGCCCATGAATCTAAGATTGGGCCCATCGCTAAAAATCTGCTATTTATCATTGGGACGGTATTAATGGATAAGGGCGGGCTCTTCTCCACACTCATTGGGGCATCTTCCTGTTTGGGGGCTCGTCTTTTTGATAAATTAATCATTTTGTTCGACCAATTTCCACAGACCATTTTGGCGCTGTTCCGCTGGTAGGAAGTGATAAAAATCCCCATATAGAAATTGAGAGAAGTGGGAATAATTCGCTTTCGGTGCATATTCAGGTCAAAAAAAGTGAACGACAGCCTAAAGAAATTAATCAGGGACTTTGAAGTTCAGTTTTTTCCCGGAAATTATTGTTAAACAAGCTACAATTAAATAAAAAGGATTTTTCCTCATACAGTTTTACTTGATAAACTACTCCCAGAGAGCCAAAAAATTCAAATTTGAGAGAGAAAATTTGCTCTCACGACCTCAATCCCTCAACATGCCATGTATTTTTTTGACACTCGATTTATGATTTCCCTTCCACAGATTACAAAATAGAGTACCTGACACTAAAAAACATGTCTGGTACCTCTATATATGCATTTGCTTTAACATTTGAAGTCACTCCTTTTTGACAAATTCTGCATAATCTAAATGCATATATAGAGGTACCAGACATGTTTTGCACTGCAGTGTCCTCTGTAAACAATTATAGGAAAACTGATTGTGTCTAGTTTCCGATAGATGTCACCGCAAACAAGAGCTGTGACATCTGATGGAACATGAATGCAGAAGCTTGACAAAATGATCAATTATGGGATCATGTTGCTGCACTTTGCCTATCGATCCACCCAATCCATTTTCGGCCCTTTCATACAGCGACATGTGGAGGACAATCAGAGGTTATTAAGCTTGATCAAGACAAACAGAGCAAAGAGCCCACTGCTACCGGACTCAGTTTCCGTGATACAATAGGTGGTAGACCACTTTCATGCTATCAAGAAGCAGTGTTAGATTTTTAGCAATATCTAAACAATTGGTTGCTCTTCTGCAGAGAAAACATTCCATTTTGAGAAAAAAAAACTCCGCTCGAAAAATTGAGGCAAAGAGCGGGTTGTGCTTAGTAGACTCAAAATTAGATCTAAGCCTTATATTCAAAGTTAAAAATCTGCACTCAAGAATAAAATAGCAACGCTACCGTGGGGGGGCCGATGTACACCTAAGAAATGAATCAAAGTCCGTACATTTCATACAAAACGCCTAATTTTTGTATGAGGTGTACGGATTTCGACCCTATAAGGATTTCGGTACCCAACGGTATTCCTGAGCATGGGGGATGAAGAGTTAAGACAGAACTTCTAATGTGCAGGGTGTCCATCCAACCGGGAAATCCCGAAAAAAACGGGAATTCGGATTTACCGGGAAAAAACCGGGAGAAATGCGGGAAAATCCAAATTGCACCGGGAAAGATCATAAATAATCGTCCCAAGTAACAATTTTGGTTTTATCATAGTCTTGTAGGCCGAGATTTCGTTTTGAAGAATCATTTAAATTTTTTTAAAACAAGCATTGTTACTTGGAAACAATCATTGTGTGCTTAAGAGGATTTTTGATTGCTTGAAGTAGCAGATTATGATTACATGATACTCAGGTCACATGGACCAAAATTCATAATTTTGTGAAAGCACAACTCTGAATATAAAATGTTCGATTTTGTTGATGGAAAGAAAGTAGGGGGCAATCCCAAGTAATTAACAAGCGTGGTTAATAATAATTCGACTAATAATTTGCCGAAGCCCTTTATTAGTCGTATGTTAGCTTTATATAGCAAAATCAATCCAAATTAGCGGGCATATTGGTTACCTCCAAAGTAATAATTTGGGTTTTATGAGGATTCTGTAAACCATGATTTAGACATGTAGTGCTTTAAAACCTCAAAAAAAATTTGCAATGTTACTGTTACATCCCAACCCATGTGCAATATGTGCTTGTGAACGATTTCCCACCGGAGGTATCCCACTGCGATCAAGTGTTTGGTTAAACGTGTTATCCATAACAAATGTGCAATGAAGATGAGATGGGCATTGAATTGTGCACGGGGAATATATGTTATAACGAGGTATTAAAGACAAGTGTTTCATATGCGGAGAAATATTCCTAACGGAAAGTCCAGAAACAGTCAACAAAATAACTAATAAGGGTGAGTAAATTGACATGTCTAGAAGAGGGAATGGAGTAAATTGATGAAATAAGGGGATCATGAACTTGTTGAACACATTCTGGCGATCAATTAATTTATTGTAGATTGAAAAATAGCAAGCTGGTTGATTTGAAAATGATTGCAGTTTCGTTCACACATCATTATCAATCAAAATAACGCCCCGGTTACTGCTTTAATTTTTACCTGACTCATAACATGCCTTGAATCTGTGAATTTAGAAAAATGTGACTGATTTTCAATACCCGGTTATTTGTTCTAAAAAAAATTAGAAAATCAAGGAATAGCAAAGAATTTAGTTTTCTTCGTTGAGTAGGGCGTCCGGAATGATTTGTATAATCCAATAATGCTATTTTTAAACACAATTAATAATTTTAAATGATGTTATGAGTCTCCGTGAAGCATAAATGGACATCGATCAAGATTTCGATTAACCTGTAAAATATATTTGTAACACATCTGAAAATGTTATAAAATAAATTTTAAGATCGTAACTCCAGGAAGATTTGAAGTAATTTTTATACTGCTTTTCTCCTGCTCAGATCTTGCTTTTTCCGACATACCAAAACAATATTTGGGATAATTTTTGCAGTGAAATTCTTTGATTTTATACGAATTCATGATTCCATGAGATTTTGGCAGAGACATCGCCTGCCTCATTTGTTTACCTGTGCACCAAGCTTTGTTCGTTATGGTTTACCACCACATATTAGTTTTTGTTTTATTTTTCAATGCTCCATGAATTCGAGGGACATATTCTCCATCACTATATTAATTACTACCTAACGTAACATTTGAAGGGCCTATCATCTTGTATAA